ACTCAAATGAGGACATAGAGCAGAGGATGGTGACCCAGGGATGCCCCCACTACTCCCTAAGGGACGGCAGCTACTGCAGAGAGGAAGGAGGCAGGATAGATGCACCCATTCCTCAGGGACAGGTACCTGTACCTCCTCCCACCCAAGAGCCACCTACCTAGAGCCTTGTGGAAAATCCCTACCCCTGCCCACAAAGGGTATGCAGTCCTCTCCACAATCCCCACTGCACCCCAACTCATCCTGCCACCAGTGTATGCTGTTCTGTCCCAGGACAGGGGACCACTGTGGGAACCTCTTCCCTCTGCCTTCCGACACATGTCCTGCCTAGGTCACTCACTGCCAAGGATGACCAAATACACCACCACACTGATGGAGGGGAACTCATCTAGCCCTGCAGTTCCTGCCTTCAAGACTTTGGCAGGGTGGTCCCTCAGGGTCAGTATCTCTAGTACAGGGGGCTTCCTCACCACCCTAGAGCCACTGACCCAGAAACCACCTGCAAAGAGGTCCCAGGGGATGGAATGCAGGGTCCAGGTATTGAAGAATAGACAAAGCCAGCCCCCCAGAAAGGCAATGAATGTAGGCCCAATCTGTTTCTGTCATCAAGCTCAGACAGGGTTCCTTAGCCTGGAGCTATAGGTGGGTAGAGGGGGACCTCTCCTCTCAGCCATAAATGTGACAAGACCAAGTTGTCCTCAAGTTTCAGATAAGTCCCAACCCAATCCTCATTCCTCACCCTGCCAGTGCCTTACCCAGGAAAGCAGGTCCTCCAGCTTTGGCTTCCTAAGGGCCTCACCCCCTCTGATTGCCAAGGATGACCCAGAAGTAGCTCAGCATCTCCACTGCCCCCATTTGGAACAGCAGTGCCTCCCCCACACCTGTGGGGGCCACCTCTTGTCCACCTGGCAGGGTGGGATGAAGGAGAACCATCAGCTTCCAAGTGGGTCTTCAAGCCAGCTGGTTGGAGGTAGAACCAGACATGAGAATTCCACACCTCAGGGCATAGGAGGATGGGTTGTCTGAAAGTGTGGAGCCCAGTGATGCGGAGCCAATTCTCTCCTGATTCTCATACCATCACCCAACAGTCAAAGCAGATCTATAAGGCAGGAAGTTAATGGGGTAGGTACACAGCCTCAAATTCCATTTCCTTCTCTTTACCAGCCCAGCCTAGGAGGGGACCCTGGTCCATTCATTCCAGGCACACTCAGACACACTCCTTGCTGAGTATGGGTTGTTGGTATGTGGGACCCATACAAAGGAGGTTCTCACGGAGGGATTCAAAGAAGGTCCTTGAGATGACTGCTTGATTCGAGGGACACAGCCACATGAGATGTACCCTCGGGTGGGACGATCAGCAGGAACATGATCCCACAAGTCCCCATCTACATCTTTTGTTCTCCGAAAACCCTAGGAGGAAGCAGGCTTAACACTGCAAGAGTCATCAGTGTCCACCTGGGCCTGTGTTTTCCAGAATCCAAGTGGAAAAACATGTGAAAGCCACATTCCACAGACAGAAGGCTTCATCTTAAATGTATTAGATAGGCATTGTTTCCAGAATCAGATATCAGCTGTACTGTGTTCTAACACTGAGGGTGGCAGTCATCGCTGATTCAGAGCTGTCTATGGGGGAAGACGTTATGAAAATACTGTATGTTGATGATCATTGTTGTCATTGTTACTGTACGAAGTCTAGAGAGAGAGAGACCTTTGATGTTTAGCTGCAGAGTGCATTGATCCAGCTTGAGCTTCAACGGCAGAAAAAGCCTGAAAATTGCTAAACTAGTTCAACCCCTCGTTGAATTAGTCTTAGAATTAGTCTGAAGCCAGGCCTAGAGAGAGTTTGTTCTTTTCACTACACCAGGCTTGATCTCAGAGCCCATTTCTCACTCTCCTTGATAGCTGACCCAGGATGTGGGAGGCCTTGCATTTTAGAGCAAATCTACATGGATGACTTTCCTTCTTCCCTGGGTTATAAGCCACCCACCCATCCTAAGGAGGAAGGCAGGTTCTCAGCCTCCCCCATGGAGCCTTGGCCTTTGAGGTCTCCACCTCAGCCCCTGTGATGCTATTGTCTTGTCAATCATGTGCATTGATCCTTATAACGCCTCTGCCTTCCCAGTCCCGCCCTCTCCAGAGGACTCCACTGGCCCCCACTGAATACCAGTTACTCAGCCCAGGGGCCCACAGCCACTGAGGCAGCACCTGAGGCGAAGTTTAGGAACCAGGAAGGAAACAGACAAGGTAGGTCTTAGAAGCCGAACTGAGAAAAAATGGACATCATCCAGTTTGCTTATGCAGAGACTGAAGGTGGGCCTTGAAAGAGCTAACACTTCTCAAGCATATTTTTGGACATGAAGTAAAGTGAACACCAAAAGCAGAAGCTTTCTGGAGCAGGAGCTCCCCCCTGCTGGCCCAGTGGAGGCAAGTGGGGGAATCCAAGTCAGGCCGACAAAGAAGGTTGGCTTAGATGACAAATGTGAAGGTTAGACATCACACAGCAGAAGCCTCCTGAGAGATTTCCAAAGAGAAAAACAATGTTTGACAGGAGCTTGTCAAACCAATGAAAAAAAGCTTTGCTTATGGTAATAAAAATGGCTCATACTTAACATAGCACTTACTTTGTGGCAAGTACTGCTGTAAATAAATGCTTTGTGAAAACCAACTTGCTTGATCCTTATGAGGACCCTATGAAAAATGGGCTGTTATTACCCCCACGTGGCAGAGGGAGTTACTTGCCCAAAGATACACTGGTGGTAAGTGACCTGTAGGATTTAGACCTGGGCAGCTAGCTCTAAAACCCTTAAAAGCTGCAGTATTATACTGCTTCTTACTGAGCTGAGGGGTCTGATGAATGATGGACAGGCTTGTGGTACTACTCTGCCAAAGAGGATATAAGGGGTTCCCATTCATAAAGTGGGCTCAGAGATGGGGCAATTGGGGGTGCTGTATTACAGTGCACTCTCTCAAAGCATTTGTCTTAATGTGTTGAACCAACACTTACCAGAGAATATCAAGAATGAAAACCAGGTAACTCCTGATAGAAAATGTGCCTGGCTTTAGAGATGGCTGCTGTGCCAATAACTAGGGTTAATCTGCAACTAGGGTTGCAGATGACTCTGGGTACCCAGGGACCCAAAGAAGTAAGATCCCTTGCACTCTACTTTGCAAGAAATTGGGGGGAGCTCGTGATAGGCAGAGCAAACTAGAATCACCAGCCAAGAATGCAGCACTGCAGTTTGCAAATGGTATCATCATGTCCAACCCATGTTTTTTTTTTAGAAGTTGGTCCAGGAACTTGGGGGTATGATTTAACTTGCAGAAACACCTGAAAAGATTCAAGCCACAGCCTAAAATGTGCCCCAATGGGAAGAGATGTGAGTAGAGGAATTGAAGACAGGGTTTGAGGGCTGCTTTTTCATGAAAAATGAGGTGACTTAGAGAAAAGAAACTCATAGCTGCCTAAACCTGGCCTGTCTCTTGCCTATAGAAGCATGAAGCTGAGAGACTAACTGCTCAGCAAATCCTACTTAGTGTTCTCACAGATGACCCAGGAAAATACACATCTCCAAGCTGTGTGCTGTGCTCAGCTTTCCCAGATAAGCTAAGAGGAACACACCCCAGGATTATAATAAAATCCACTCAAAGAGACTGAGCTTTCACATTCCAAGCTCTGGTTCTACACAGGTATTGTCAAACTACTTAAATTGAAAGCAATTAAAATAAAACAAAAGTAAGCATTCAGCTCCTCAGCTGGACAAGTCACGGTTCCAGCACTCGGTAGCCTCAGGACCACCACAAAAGTCAATCAGATACAGAACATTTTTTATCATCACAGAAGTCCCCATGGATAGAGCTGGTCTAATCCAAGCACTCTTCCCTAGTGCTTTTTTAAAAGACAGGATCTTGCCATGTAGCACAGGCTGGCCTGGAACTCACTATGTAACACAGTCTCCTTTCAAATGCGCAACACACCTGTTAGCTGGCAGCGAATGTGGGGAAGGAGGTGTTGACTGGGGAGGGCTCACTGCTCTAGACCGAGTCCCTGTATTTGCACATGATGTATGTTGTATACTGGGTAGTGCTGTGAGTGGAGAGTATGACCCCAGAAGAGAGTGTGACCTTGAAATGACCTTGAGCCAGGCCAAGGGCCTGTAGGGTTTGTTTCTTCACATTTTATCTAACCCAAGCAGGATCTTTCTCAGGGGGTTCCTCTGGCTTGGGGAAAAACCGAGAGACATTCTGGTGGCTCCCTGGTGGTTTGGGGGAAGGGGACAGCAATAGTTTCAGATTATGTCCCCTCCAGAGAGGTATGTCAAGCCTCTCTCAGCTGTCAAATCCCAGCTGGTATCTTTTTTGAAGCGCATCTTGAGCTTCACCACTAGGGGGTGTTACTGCCCTACAGCAAGGCCCTGGGGTCCTGCTCCTGAAGGCACCTGATGGTGCTCCCCTTCAGATCTGCTCTCTGACTGCCTCAGCCACTTCCAGAGACACAGCAAAAGGAATATGTGACCCTCCTACTTTAACCGGGGGCCTCCCAAGGTCAAAATCTTGTACCAGAGGCCTGTAGGCTCCATCTGTACTGGGAGTGACAGAGGCTTCAGGCTGCCCATAAGGTCCAGCCCAGTTGTATATCCTTGCCAATATTTCTACTCAAAGATACCACAGAGCTCAGTGCTGGGCATGGTGTGACAAATAACACAGTCTCTTCTCTCCAAGAAAGACAGTCCAGCAGGAGAGGACAGACTCACGAAAAGACTCACAAAACAGCGCCAGTGGGAGCCACAAAGAGTAGCAGGGTAATGGGCAGAAACCGCTGGGTCTCAGGCCTGGAACTGCCACCTCCCCTTGGGCAAATCCACCAT